TCACACAGTGTCCCAGGGCGTCTGGCACTATATTACCTCTGCCTTTCTCTGCCTTATCACTGGGTGATCAGCTCCTGGAGTCAAGACCGTGTTGCCTAAACGGTACATGGCAGATAGCAGGAACTCAAGAACTATTTGATGAGTGAATAGAAGGATAAAGGCATGGGCGGGTGGACGCGGGACAATGGGGAAGGAGAGAACAGGTTAAGGATGACTTTTCAGATTCCTTTAAGCTCGGATATTGAGCTTTTTTTTTTTTTAGGGAAAGTAGTCCCAGCTATTTGAGAAATAACACAGCGATCAGGGCAGAATCATGTGGGGATTTTCCTTTGAATGGACATGATTGGCTTCTGTGGGGGATCTGCCCCCATTCTGTGGGAACATCATGTTCCCTGGTCTCAGCCTGGCTCAGAACTTGGCACCCCCACCCCCCCTGCACCGGGACATTCATTTTTGTCACCCAGCCTGGGTAGGAGGGGTGGCCGGGTGGGAGGGAGCCGTTTTGGGAAAGAGTGTTGGGGAGTGTTTATGTGTGTGATGAGTCAGGCCAGGGAGCTCAGAGGCTTAATCTCTGCTCAGCTCTCTGCACGGGGGCAGTTCTCACCGTCGGGGGGTGGGGTGGGGTGGGGGGACCACCAACTGTCTGTGGAAAGTTTTCTTAGTCACAGCTTGTACCAGCGCAGCTGGAGCTTTATGTAACCGGGCCTTTGTTCTCCCACAAAAAGGGTACGAGGGGGTCAGAGCAGCGTTGGCTGCTCTTTCTGCAGCACCTCTTCCCTCTTCCAGCCCCTCCCAATGCCAGGGCCAGGTGACGCGCCCTCCCCTCCCTCCGCAAGTGGCATGTTGAGGGCGAAAGGCCACATTCTCACTGGGAAAGGGGTTAGGCTGTCTTCATGGGCCCCACGGGATGCCTCGCTGCCTTCAGGGGTGTCCCCTCCTTCCTGTGGTGGGGAGGACGAGGCCAGGCCTCAGAGCACGCTGGGACTCCTGCCTCTGCATGAACTTGAGCAGCAGGGGTCACCAGGGCCTGGGCTTCCGTTTCCCCAGCTGCTGGCAGCCCAGTCTCCGCTCCCTCCCTTATCAGCATTGGGTTTCCTGCTCTGATACCCGAGCCAATTTGCCTATCACAACAAGAGTGCTGTCAGAGACAGCTCCAGATAAGGCCGCAAGCCCGTGGGCACGCGCCCCTGTAACAGAGACCACGAAGAAAGAAGCAGTAGTGGTTTGGGTGCTGATGACTAGCTTGGCCGAGGAGGCCGGCCATTGGGTCCGCTGGGAAGAAGGAGCAAAGCTCAGAGGTCGTGGGGACTTGCAGGGCCCACAGCAGGGGAAGGCTTGTCCCTTGGGGCCAAGGCGCTGGGGCCTGAGCTTTGGAAAAGGTAAGACAGGGACCTGCTTTCCTGGGGGTGGGCCTACGGATAGTGTCATCGCAGGGGCAGGCCTGCCCCCCAAACAAAAAGGAATGGACGCGTTTGAGACATAAGCTGGGAACGAAGGATGGATTTCTCACCAGGGAGGATGGTCACTCTGGCTCAGGGGCCTGGGTCGGAAAAAAGGTTCTGGAAAGAGAGTTACAAAGTCAGACGGTTAGTCCCTGAGCGTGACTTGGACAGCAAGAGTGAGAGCTGCTCAGAGAGGCTGGGGAGGTAGGAGGAGCAGGTGGCTTGTGGGAGCCCACAGCCTGTCGCTACAGCTCTGCCCCCTTCAGTGCTCGGCAGTCCCCTGGCTGAAGCCAGAGGGAGAAACCAGAGGGGAGGACTTCATGGGGGTCTGGAGACGAGGGAGACCAGTGGAGAGAGAAGAGAGCCAGGACCAGGGGGCCAACAGGGAGGAGTGAGAAAGGCGGGGAGGCCCCCCGGATTTCTGAGCCCTGGCTGCAAGGCGCAGGAGCTGCTGCTGGGTGGATGGGACAGCGATAATGGGAAAACAAGAAGGCAGGACACCCCCCCCCCCCCCCCCGAACCTCAGGTGCCTGTAGGCGGCGCACAACTAGAATTCCCTCTGTCTGGTGAACTGTGGTCCAAGCTGAGCAGAGGCTGGGCGATTCCTGAAGCCGGAAGAGCAGGAAGGAAGCCCAGAGGGCTAGGAGCAGAGGGGGAAGAAGGAATGGAGGGGGAAGAAGGAGAGGGAGTTCCGAGGCGCACCAGCAGGGGCCAGGCTGGGACAGCGCGGAGCTGGCCGAGCTGCAGCCCTGGGCAGAGCGCACATCTCTGAAATGAGGTCTCCTCCATTCAGGCTGCTGCCTTCTGTTTCCGGGCCTGAGCTAAGAGCAGCGTAGGATCTATTTCTACCCTCGCACGCTGAGCCCCAAATCCCGGGGATGTCATGCTCCACCGCCCCGCCTGGTCCTCGGTGCAGGGACCTAATCCGGGGGATGATCGAGGGCTTGGGGAGAGTCCCTAGCAGCTTGGACCCTGGCAGGTGGGGATCACCGTGATCTGTGTCCAGGCTGCCTTGTTGAATTTGCTCCTGGGTCCGCCTGCCTCGGGATGCAGCTCTTCCGGCCCCCTTTCTGGACCTCGGAGGATCCGCCATGACTTCTCAACAGCACTTATATATATATTTGATTTCAGAGAGGAAGGGAGGAGAGAGAGATTAAAACATCACCGATGAGAGAGAATCATGGACCGGCTGCCTCCTGCACACCCCCTACTGGGGATCGAGCCTGCAACCCGGGCATGTGCCCTTGCCCTGAATCCAACCCAGGACCCTTCAGTCCATAGGTCAACACTCTACCCATTGAGCCAAACCAGCTAGGGCTCTCACTACCTGCTTTTATAGTAAGAGGAGGGGAGGCAACAGAGGTTCCGCCTGCAGACATCACAACCGCACCGCCTGGGCTGAAACCCACTCTACCACCGCTCACAGCGCCACCCCAAGCAGGTCACTTTCATCTTGGATGGTGTCCCCGCTCTCTGAGAGAAGGCTAGTGACGGGACTACCTGGAGAATGAGATAATGTGGGGAAAACCATCTTTCTCCTGTGGCTCACCACAGAGTAAGCTCTCAATAATAATGGCTCTTGTTTTTACACATGGCCGGCCACACGTGCATAATCTTATTTGCCCCAAACAAAGACAGTGCGTTCCAGCAGGCGGGCCTCCTCCTTCCTGTTCCAAGAACAGCCCGTGTTCGGCCCCATTTTTGTGCACAGAACTGTCTTCCCACCTCCAGCTATTCACCCCCCCACCCCCACTCCCTCCAGACCTACCTAAAATGCCGCCTCCTTCCCAAAACTTCCCCTGATGATTCAAAGCCGCACGCAAGTCTCTCCCTCCTCTGCCTTGCTGTGCTACCAGCCAGGGCCTTGCCGTTGAACATGGAAACCACGAAGTCATAGGCTTTGAGAGCTGGAAAAGCCCTTACAAAGGACCCCGGCCACCTGCCGTGAGTCAGGCACGGCTAAGAAGCAGCGCTCATTGCCACCATCTTCTTTAGCGTTCACCTTGGGCAGCACTAATGTAACCCCAGCACGTCTCGAAGTCCGAACGCTGCCTCAGAATCCTTCTCAACACAGAGCACCGGGCAGTGAGCACCGACCCATCAGCAGTGCCTCTGCCGCCCATCATCCAGGCAAGTGGAAGTAATCCACATGGATGGGGTGGATGGAGCTCCTGAGGGTGCAGGCACCTCCCTCGGGCCTCAGGCCTTGGGGCACGAGGGTGGAACTCCCGTCTAATCGCTGCCCAGGCTCCTTCCACCTCACGGAGGCCTCTGGAATGGTGTGTGGTTGTTCTCCGTCCATCTATCTCACCCTCCCAGTCGGTGCGCAATATTTGTGAGGGTAGGGATGACGCCTCAGAGCAGCGGTTCTCAACCTGTGGGTCGCGACTTCTTTGGGGCTCGAACGACCCTTTCACAGGGGTCGCCTAAGACCATCGGAAAACACATATATAATTACATACTGTTTTTGTGATTAATCACTATACTTTAATGATGTTCAATTTGTAACAATGAAATTGGGGGTCACCACAACATGAGGAATTGTGTTAAAGGGTCGCGGCATTAGGAAGGTTGAGAACCACTGCCTTAGAGGGCTCTAGCCGTCCCTCCGCACCAGGCACAAACCAGGCACAAACCAGGCCGCATCACGTGGGGCTTCTCCCCGGCTGCCGTCCTTGTCTTCGGAGCTCACTCCCAGGCAGAGGGAGCTGGGCTGTGAGGAGGCTCCGTCCCAGCGCCGGTCTAGCCGCTGCGCTCTGAGGGCCTTCCTCTGCCCATCGCAGGCCACAGGAGCTCTGATCACTGGAATGGTGAAGACAGGGGCTGGACCTCAGGGGCCAGAGTGGCCGTCTTCGCTCTTGGATTGGTCTGCTGAGGGGCCTCGAGATACTCAGGCAGCAGTGGGGGTGGGGGAGCCATAAGGGAAAAGGAGAGAGATTGCACAGCCAGAGGCCCACCTCTCCTAGGCCCCAAAGAACATGGTAAGGTGGTCTCTCTCTCTCTTTAAATATATTTGTATTGATTTCAGAGAGGAAGGGAGAGGGAGAGAGAGATAGAAACATCAATGATGAGAGAGAATCATGGATCAGCTGCCTCCTGCACCCCCCTACTGGGGATCGAGCCCGCAACCTGGGCATGTGCCCTGACCGGGAATCGAACTGTGACCTCCTGGTTCATAGGTCAACGCTCAACCACTGAGCCATGCAGACCGGGTGATAAGGGGGTCTCTGAAAGGGTGGAAGCGGATGGCATGGAGGGTGCACAGCTGACATCCAGATCATTGGAGACACCTTCACCCCCAGCTAGGACTCCTGGGGGCCAAGTGGAGTCTCCCCTTCAAGCCGTTGAAAGATGGCGCCACCACCCACCTAGTCCCACAAGCTGCCAGCTCCAGAGTCACCCCGACCCCCCACGCCACATCCCTCTGCACCAGACACAAACCAGGCCGCATCACGTGGGGTCCCCCCCCCTCCCCCCAGGCTGCCGTCCTTGTCTTTGGAGCTCACTCCCAGGCAGAGGGAGCTGGGCTGTGAGGAGGCTCCGTCCCAGCGCCGGTCTAGCCGCTGCGCTCTGAGGGCCTTCCTCTGCCCATCGCAGGCCACAGGAGCTCTGATCACTGGAATGGTGAAGACAGGGGCTGGACCTCAGGGGCCAGAGTGGCCGTCTTCGCTCTTGGATTGGTCTGCTGAGGGGCCTCGAAATGCTCAGGCAGCAGTGGGGGTGGGGGAACCATAAGGGAAAAGGAGAGAGATTGCACAGACAGAGGCCCACCTCTCCTGGGCCTCAAAGAGCATGGTAAGGTGGTCTCTCTCTCTCTCTCTCTCTCTCTCTCTCTCTCTGTCCATAGTAGAAAAGAGGAGCATAATATAATTTGCGTCTCTCAAATATTATACTTCAAATGGAAGGATATTTGAGGGTTGTCTTGCATGTGAGACAGTATGTTCAGGATTAGGGATCGAGCCCGCAACCTGGGCATGTGCCCTGACCGGGAATCGAACTGTGACCTCCTGGTTCATAGGTCAACGCTCAACCACTGAGCCATGCAGGCCAGGTGATAAGGGGGTCTCTGAAAGGGTGGAAGCGGGTGGCATGGAGGGTGCACAGCTGACATCCAGATCATTGGAGACACCTTCACCCCCAGCTAGGACTCCTGGGGGCCAAGTGGAGTCTCCCCTTCAAGCCGTTGAAAGATGGCGCCACCACCCACCTAGTCCCACAAGCTGCCAGCTCCAGAGTCACCCCGACCCCCCACGCCTGCTCCTCCCTCCTGCCGCGCAGCCGCAGCGGGTCCTCTCCACCCTCTCCTTCCCAAGCCCCTGGCGTGTGCCTCCTCCCGGCCTCCCACCACTCCGAGCCCCTCTCCTGGAATCTTGATGATCCTGGCGCTGCGGTGGCCTCATTGCGCTCTCCAGTCATGTCACATCTTGGCTGGGCTTTTCTTTCTAAAACTTAGATTTCATTATGTCATTCTCTGCTGAAAAATCATTACCACCTCATTGTGCTCCAGAGAGAGGCGAACTGCTTAGCCCAGGGTTTCTCTCTCTGCACTGCGGACATTTCAGATTGCAGAACCCGTGGGGAGGCCGCCCGGGGCACCTCGGATGTCTGGCAGCTTCCCTGGCTGTGGTCAGCTGCATGCCAGGGGCATCGCCCCCTCCCCCAGGTCTTCACCACCCAAAATTCCTCCGGACATCGGGGAATGTCCTCTGGAGACCACCACGAAGCAGGCTTGAGGAATTAGCACTTAGCTCCCTGCCGACAGCTTTCCAAGGACTGGATGGGGAAGGAGGGTCGCCAGGCCAAAGGCGGTGGCTGGGCTGGCATGAGTCACAGGAGGTGCCTGGGTGGAGCCTACAGCATTTCTGGTTCCCTATTGGCAGTCAGAGCAGAGAAAGACCTCCTGGTAAGACGTCGATATTTTGGGGTGGGGATGGCTAAGCAGAGAAGAGAGAAGATGCAGGGCCAGACGCACACCCCAAGACAGGGCCCCAGGACTGTGCCTGCGGCCCCGTGTGCAGGTGGATGTGCCCGCCAGAGTGGTGTGAGGCGGTGCGGCCTGGGCTGCGTGGTGGTGATATGAGCACATACGAAAGCCCCATCCGAGAGTTCAGGCAGCTGGCGTGGGACCGTCTGACTTGTGCGCCTGCGCGTGGACACACCAGAGAAGGACATTCCGTGTGTCAGTGTCCCCGCCGTGTCCCCAGATCCCGGTGTGCACTGGCCTCTGCACTTCCAGGGGCTCCCACCTCTCTGCCCCACTTAGATCCACACGCGCACACACAACACTCACGTAACACTCACAGCCCCAAACTCCTCTGCATTTGAAAGATAAGGGGGGAAAGGGGCCAAGAGATGAGAGGAAATAAAAATAGCCGAAGACAAGCTCTTCAGATAAGAAAGCTCCCCTTTCCAGTGAATCACCAGTTTTCCACACTGAGAGTATGCGTGTATGCGCGCGCGCACACACACACACACACAAACACACACACACACCAGCACAAAACACACACACACCCCGCAGAAAACACACACACCCAGGCACGTCGCCAAGCCCTGCACATGCCCCCACTCTGATGCCCTTGACTCAGACCCTCTCACATGCTGTCCCCCTGAAATAAAATGACCCCCCAAAGGGGTACCTGTGGGCCTCTGGGGTGCTCCTATTTGAAGCTCAGAAGGTACCAGCCACCTCCCCAGTTCCCTGCAAACACACATCCCCTCTCCCCTCCCCTTCCCTGCTTCTTCTGGCTTCTCTGTATTTCCTGCCCCTCCCCTCGAAATGGGGCTCACGAAGGCAGGGGCGGCCTTGTGTCCCAGAAAGGGGTACTCTGCTTCCCTCAGGAGGCACCGGGCTGGCCAGCTAGGTCTCTGCACAGGATCGATCCCCGGAGCCGGCTCTGTGCTGGGGAGAGAGCAGACAGCCCCGGAGGCCGTGCAAGATTTATGAATGTGCTTTGTTAATTGCATTAGTGGCTCTGCGGGAGGATCGTGTGTGCTTTGGCCTTAAACACGGCAAGTCCAACCGTGGCATCTGGAGAGGAGACAGGACTGGAGCAGCGTGTAGGAGCCCCCTGAGGTCCCGTGGCCACCCTACCCCCGTCCTGCCCGTTCAGGGGGCAGGATCCGCTGTCTGTGGCTTCGTTCCTGTGAGACGTGGGGCCCCTGCTCCTTGGGAGCTGGCTGAGCATCTTGTCCCTGCACCTTTTTTAAAAAAAAACAACAACACGGGAAGTGGCGGCCTTCGGGGATGGATGGGGCAGCTAGAGAGGGCGGACCTAAAGCTTCGAAGCAACTCTGAGGACGTGGCTGCTGGGTGTGGGCCTAGGACAGTGATGGCGAACCTAAGACACGCATGTCAGAGGTGACACACGAACTCATTTTTTTTTATGCTTCTACAAGAGATCCACTTTATTTTTTTATTTTGTTTTATTGCTTAAAGTATTACAAAAAGTATTACATATGTCCCCCCCACCCCTTGACATTCCCCCGGCCTCCCCTACCCCCCAGTGTCTTATGTCCATTGGTTATGCTTCTATGCATGCATACAAGTCCTTCGGTTGATCTCTTACCCTCCCCTCCTGCCCCCCAACCAGCCAGCTCTTATCTAAAGCTGATTCAATGCACAGTCTCTGTTGCCGGCGCATAGGAAGTCTGTGGTCAGGAATAGCTCTGATGGGGCAGGAAATGAGTCTCCTGTGGTGGAAACAGATCTCCTGGCTTCTTACTTGGTCCCCAGGGGTAAGAATGGCCCAGGGCCAGTGCAACCTGTGAATCCAGCCGCCAGGCTTTGCTTTACAGTTAGATTCGGATTTCTTCTGAGACCATACTAGGGAAATGTATTCCATCCACTCCTTCCTCAGATTTAAAAAATAAATAAATAAATGAGCCCGGCCAGTGTAGCTCAGTGGATTGAGTGCCGGCCAGTGCATCAGGAGGTCACCGGTTCAATTCCTAGTCAAGGCACATGTCCAGGGTTTTGGGCTCCATCCTCAGTAGAGGGCGTGCAGGAGGCAGCCAATTGATGTTTCTCATCGATGTTTCTATCTCTCTCCCTCTCCCTTCTTCTCTCTTAAAAAAATCAATTAAAAAAACATTTATTTATTTATTTATTTATTTATTATTTTTAAGAAAAAACTTTCTAAAAAAAGAAAAATGAGGCCCAAGGACAGAAATGAAATCCTTAAGGCCATGAAGGGTATTAAAGGCCTAGGAGTCCCAGTGCCCGGGTGCCCTGACCTGCCCCTGAACCTTCTACTGTATTGTGCTCTCTCATGCCCGGGGCCTCTTCCATAGTGGCTGCACCAGTCTGCATTCCCACCAGCAGAAGTTAGGGTTTTTCCAAATGCTGACACGCCGAGCTCAAAAGGTTCGCCATCACTGACCTAGGAGCTCCTCCCAAGTCTAGGATTCGAATGAGCCCTTCAGAAGGTGGGCGCTTAGGCCGCCACGCCCATCTCGCATGGAGCGCCCTCTTCCTCCACCCTCAGGGCCCTGCTGTGGTTGGGGGTGTGGGTTCTGCACCTGGGATGCCTGAGGGGAACCCCCCCACCCCAGTTCTGGCTCTGACAGTTGGGCGAGTTTGTCTCTGGGCCTTTGCTCCTTCAACTGCTAAAGGGAATAATAATAATGACACCTTCATCACTGGAGGGTCTTTTTACAACTATGGTGCCGAAGGCAGGGACACCGGCACCTACGTTTGCCATCAACATTAGGTACTGGCGCCTGACCCTGGGCAGCCTTTCGGGCCTCTCTGTGCCTCATGTGCCCCCAGAACCCTGGCTTCTCCCTAAGGGACTTTCCAGGGGACAGGGGAGACCAGAGCCAAGATGCAGGACTCAAGACGGTGCCCTCCCTGCTCCTGTCTCCCTGGTCTGTGAGCATCTGGGGTATGTGTGTCTTGCCCCACCCTCTGCCCGCTGTGCCCCCACCTGGGAGCTCTCTGCACAGCCCTGCCTGGCCCTGAGCTGGACATGGACACGGAGCGGCTATTTTTAGGCCCAGACAGAAGCAGCAGCTGTACAACCCCCTCTCGGAGCTCCCCTCTCCACAGAAGGGCCCAGCCTCATGGGTGAGGCTGAGGAAGGGAGAGCTGAGATCCCAGCTCCGGCTCCTCCATCCTTACAGCCCCAGGGTGAGCTTCTCTCCGGCTGGTCCCCCTCCCCCAGCTTCTTCATTGCCAGAGGTTTAGCTGCCAAGCTGTAGAGGCGGCAAAGTGGGAGGAAGGAGGAGGAACAGAAGAGGCGGAGGAGGAAAGCCCATGTCCTCAGGTGAGCCCCCCCCCCCCCCATCCTGGTCTCATTTAGAATTTTTCTGAGAACTCAGATTGCAGACACCCAGGGTCTGAGGCCAGCTGCACAGTGGCCCCTGCTCCCAGCAGCCCTTCCTTAGTGTGTAAAGGAGCAAGTTTCCCCAGAAGTTCTTGGCTGTTGTGGGACACACCACCACATGTGCCAGGAGATTGGGACTGCCTTGATTTCCCCAAGACAATTAGTCTTCTAACAGGACACAAAAAAGGTCCTTCAGCCTGGCCAGCATGGCTCAGTGGTTGAGCATCGACCTATGAACCTGGAGTTCGTGGTTTGATTCCCGCTCAGGGCGTATGCCCGGGTTTCAGGCTTGATCCCTATGCCGGGGCGTACAAGCGGAGGCAGTTGATCAATGATCATCTTTCATTGTTGAAGTTTCTATCTCTCTCTCCCTGGTCGCCCTTTCTCTCTGAAATCAATAAAAAACATTTTTTAAAAAGGTCCTTAAATTCAACATTAAATTTTAAAACAATCTGTGCAGGTTTTGCATCAGGGTTCCCCTATTTTGTAATTCTCGTGATTTTTGGAGGCCACATAGGAGAAGGCCTGGGAAGAGAAGTCCTGTACAGACCAGTAAAGGAGTCAGACTTTTATTTCGGTAAGGAAACCTTCACAGGTGTCCAAATGGACAAGAACCGTACCCTCGAGGAACTTACATTCCTATTACAAAATACAGACTCACCAATCCGGGGAACAATAGTCCAACCCTTTCATGTCTGTGGCTGCTGCCAAGGTGCCTAGCAACCGATGGCGTGGATGCCTGGATTCCTGATGCTTTCGGCCGGGGATTCTCAACCTTTCCCAGGCGATGCACCTGTTCAGAAATTAACACTGTGAGCTTCTCTCCAGAAAAACACACGTCCAGGGCACAGACACCCAAATACCTGCCTGCAATTGGAGGGGCTTACACGCCCAGGACGCTGGCACATGGACCTTGGTCGTGGAGAGCGGGAGGTGGCTGCTTGGCCTGCACTGACGCTATGTCACCGCCTTTCCCAGCAGGAGATCTGCAGCTGCATTTTAATCACAGTCTCTATCAGCGCGGAGCAGGGGAAGCTGGCCACTTGGCCCGGACTGTCTGGCATTCTGAAAAAACAAAAAAACAAAACAAAACCCAAGTCCTACCAAACTATAGAAAAAACCCATTTGCAAAAGCCCTAATATGTTATCATCTTGGTGCAGTCGCCAGGAACTCTTTGACCTCGGTCAAGTCTTTCCCTTCCTTTGCTGGGGGGCGGGGCAGGGAACGCAGCATTCTTATTTGTGAAATGAAGGGGGGCTGGGACACTGAAGTAGAGCTGAGAGGTTCCTTCCAGCCCTGATGTGCCTTGAGTCTGCCATGATGTCATACGGGTGAGTCCTCTTTGGGGGAAAGTGGGGGAGAGAGAGCCTCCAGGCGCTGCGACCCTCAGAGGGGCCAGGCCCAGAGCCCCGGAGAGGAAACCTTTCCACTGCTGGCCCGAGCGGTGCTCCTGGCCACCCCCAGACCTCAGGCCTCCCCCTGGGGCATCATGCCACTGGCTCCCCCTGCAGCTAACTGCTCCTGGGATTTGGGATTAAGCATGTGCTCCCTGATTGAAGTGGAGGCTGCCTCCTCGGGCACAGGTTACAGTCTTAAAAATCACTGCTCTCTGGAGAGTGGCTCAGAGCAGCCCAAACACCCAGAGATGCAGGGACAGCGGGCTCCTCTGTGCTGACAGGGGGCCTCCTGGGCAGCTGGCCTGGGAGTGGGCGTGGGAGGGCTCTCTGCTCACGGGACCCACTGCACACATTTGGGAAGGGCTGTCCTTCCTGCTTGCCCTTCTCTGCTTGGGGGCACCTGCTTGAAAGGGTAGAAAAAAGTTGTCTGTCTTTGCCAGGTCCCGGTGAGCTGCAGCTTGGGGTGGTGGTTCCTTCCGAATGTCACCCTCCGCCTTGCAGCTTATGGCCCGGCCATGGCTTCCACACAAACCAGGGGGCCCTGGTTCTGATTGGAGGACTGGACACTTCAGCCACCAAGTGACAAGATCTGTTAACTCCAAGTCCTTCTTTAGCGTCCACACCGCCTTTTCCTCCTTCCCTCCCAGGGCTGCCCCTGCCCCTCCAGGACAGAATTTAAATGTTATTTGCTACAAATGATCTGCTAAGGAGAGGAGGGGCCTGGAGGCCAGAGGTGGTGTGGCCAGGTGGTGTGTTCACAGAGCCCTGGGCTCAGATACTCCACTAAGGAGAACAGAGAAGCATCAGAGGCGAGTATGAGCATGCAGCCCCAGGCAGTGCCTCCTGCAGCTGGCGCTAGCTTTCTTTCCACGTGTCCTCACCATGTTGACATGCAGCCACACACTTACACACCCATACACCAGCTGATGCTCACAGACCCAGTCGTAAACCCACCTCGATCATGTTTTTCTTTCCATCGCCTGGAAAAATGTATGCAGACCATGCTCACGTCTCCACACACACATCCTTCCCATCCTGCACATGCCTGTGCCATCAGGATACACGCCACTGTCATAGCTCTATGAGTTACCTTGCGCTCATGCGTGTACCCTTTCCTAAGTCACCCTTTACAACACGCGATGGGTGCATGTGCCGGAGACAGGCCTGCACGTCCCATATGGACACACTGTGCGTCTCCTTGCCCCGTGTTCGGTACACTATGCCTTCCTCAAACAGTGAGCCGGTGGGTGGTGGGTGGGGATTGCCTCCCCTAGTCCCTCTGGGCATCTCTTCTTTGGGGGTGACTACCCCAGG